CATTTACAAACTTTAATCGGTTGGACACTGCTATAAGCATCTGTCATACTACAGATAGCCTTGCGCTAATTCCCAGGAAAGCACCTATTTTTGTGGCCTAACATGAATCTTGACGCTAACCTCCTTAACATTAACTCGCTGAATCTTAAATGTAACGCTAACCGCAACCCTAACAGCTGCAGTAGGGTAATCGGGGCGGGGGAGGGGTACTTACGACCGTTGACTGCGTGGCCTAAGTAGTTTGGGTGCATCCTGGCACTTCTTTCCTCCACCTCATTCCCGATTTTTCCCACACGTAGGCATCTCATTTCCCAAAGAGGCCCGTCTCCCGCTTCATCTTGAGGAACTGCGCAATCCCAATGACAAGGGCCGTTGGTGGCTTGTCGGTTCAGCCTTCCATGGGGAGGCGTTGAAAGGCCAGAACAACTCTGAGGGTATCTCATCGCGGGTACCGGATGCGTCGGTCCTAACAAAGGAGGTAACGGGCAAGTTCTCCTCTCCTGTCAGACCTAACCTCCTCCTAGTCGAACTTTCATTAGTTTCTAATAGGCACGAGTTGCCAGAGGGTCCAGCTGATTAAGGAAGTACAGAAGAAGAAATAACAGTACAGTAGAACTTGGTTGCATTTTGTTTACGTGTACTTTGAGATTTTGCGTCTAGTTCAACGCTGTAGCACTTTAATTCGAAGTAGAAGAAGGCCAAGTCCGTAGCTTCTTAAACCCTTTCTACTGATTTGTCGCTTTATCTGTAGCTTTCATCACTAACTGCTGTCAGCAAATGCAAATATTGCCTGGACAGATTTAGTTAACATCCAGATTTTATTACACTACCTACGTTATGTGTTAGGAAGTACATCGTTTAGTGGGTGATCAAACACGTATTTTGCCTATTTGATAAATGAAGCTCGAAGTAGATCGGCGAGCCTCGAACCGTATTTGTGTCATCCCATTAGTTCATAAACACTGATTCTTGCCACACAGCACTCCGACCAAGAGTCGTTGTGGAAGTGTACGCCATAGGGGAGTTAAATGTGCAAAGTCTTCGATCTCGGGCTGAACTATCTTATCATTTAAAGGACCTCAAGCGAACCCAGAGCC